TGATACTGAGCCTTTATTTGTCATTTATAAGGGATTTATAAAGCATGAATAGTCTTCACTTTAGATTAGGTCACAAAACAGCATGAAGTTGAGTTAATAAAGCATTTACTAACATATTAATATATGCCTGAATAATAAGGCATATAAACGTTGATTTCAATAGTTTATTAATCATTTACTAACTCATTCTGAATGATCCTAAAAACCCTCAACTACTCTTAAACACAACTGGTTTGTAAATAATGCAATACTTAATTTAGTAATGAAAAATAAATCATTTACTAAGTATGAAAATACAATTATTAAGCACATTTTAAATGTGTTTATAAGTCAAGAATACAGCATTTGTAGCTGCAGTTATAAACTGCTTACTAACATTTATTAATGTAGAGTTAATGCTCAACAGATAATGAATTCACTATTTGCTAATGCTTAATAAATGATTTATAGTGTGTAGTTATTATAAAGTGTGACTTTATTACATTGAATATTCCAAAAAGCAATAGAGACACTCAGCTTCACAAACGGCTCAAATGTCAAGCAAACTGTCTTGTTTTACTGCTGACTTAAATTCCTTCAGCTCCAGAAAACGATGTAACATGTCTATTAAAGTACAGCATTGATCACAGTCTCTGAAACAGTGATGATGTTGGTTTTGAAGTCATTCCTACATGAGATTTCTGACACGATACACAAAGTAGAATAGCAGACAATATAGTCAGTGTCACTGGTAAAGTTTGCTTTATATTTGCACATTCTCCATGAAAATAAAGCATTAATATAAGCAATACAAAACTAATATTATTATTCATTAAAATACAGGGTGGGCCATTTATATAGATACACCTTAATAAACTTATTGGGAATTTCACAAGAAAAGCAGTGGTGTGCTTGGTTTTAAACGTAACTTTATTCTGTCATGAGTTATTAACATCCCCCTCACATATACTAATGTGCCACAAACAGGACGCTAATAACACCAACCATTCCCATTTCATTAAGGTGCATCCATATTGTCCAGCCTGTATATTAAAAATATATAGAAAACATAGAAATCATATTTCAACCACTTCAGTACAACAATCTCAAGTAAATATGACTTCAAACAACATTAATGCTGTTTCAATGACTGTGATCAATGACGATGAATGCTGTACTTTGATAGTCGTCGTCTGCTAATATGATTTCCCTGTTTGCTATACTTTTCTGAAACGATATTATTAAGGGGAAAGTCTGAATGTGTGAATATTTACCTCAATAAAAGGTATTCCTCAATATTGAACAATATAGAGACAGTGTCACTGAACGAATGAGAATATAAACCAGCTTTACTTCAATTTAGACGTGCTAAACAATATAGATATCATTAAAATGAATAAATGTGTGACAATAAAACCAACTTTACCCTCATGTCTGTGTATAGCAAACATCAGCAACCTTCACCTGCTGAACTAAATGCTGTATTAATAAGCAACACAAACATTAATAAGAAATCAAGCATAAACTCGACCTGAATTGTTCTGGAAAGACTACAGAAGTGAAGATTTAAAGCGAATATTTATATAAGAGAAGGCAATTCTCCCAAAAAAGCCAGTATTTATCGAGACGTGTGAGCCAAATATCAGAAGACAACAACGCTAATTCAGCTAACAGCATCAGTATTGTTGACAATCACACGCAGACAGAGGGAAGATCAAGTCACGTTTGTAGTCCAATGTGAGACTTATGTAATCATACGATGCTCATATCGCCGTCATCATCATCTATTATTCTCTTACAGACAACTGCATATGCATCAAACACACGGACATGAACATATATTCGCGTGTGTGTGTTTATATAACACGTACAATATATAAACACACACACACACACACACACACACACACACACACACACACACACACACACCATGTCCAGTGTTATTATACTAGTGACCTTTATCAAACGCGATGTACATCCTACATGCGTCAATCAGTCATTACAGCACGTGTAAACTGCAAAATCAACACGTCATGAAACCTTACATATGTAATAAATAACGACAGAAAGCGGGCACCATGAGGTCATAATAATAACGTTAACGTTACACACCTGATACCGACTCCTCGAGGAAAGATCCCGTCTCCTTCAGATGATTCTTTAGCGAGCACTCGGTATATTTCGTGATTAATAAATGAGTAGATAAATAAGTCAATGTTTTGATGTGACAGCCCCTGGTGTCCTTCGTGTTAGCACGTCGGCTAATATCTTCGTATCTGCCCAGCTAAACTGATTGAGTGTGCTGTAACTCCACTAACCGAAGCCCAGCTGTGTTTCACAGCAGTAAAGAAATGTCCAGATGAGTAGTTTACCGTGTTATCTGCTGAAGCCTGTTTTAATTCTTAAAATCTGTGGATGCTAGCTGATGCTAACCCACACACACATACCCCATAAGCTCCCGAAAACACATCACCACATTTAAAGAATAACCACTGGAGGAGTGAGAGACCGCTCTCCAGCGCAGATAATGCTGAATAATGGTCAGATTCAGCCGCTATGACTTCATCTTGCCCGTGCAGCTCTATTGGCTAATCCTGGGAAAATAAAGACTGTAGTGATATTCATATTTAAAAACAAATAATTACATATAAATCGTCTTTTTATCTTAAACTTGAACAGCGTTTGCCTTGCCTGGCCCTGACAGATCATTTATATAAGAGGGGCTCTCATCTGTTCTGGAGCCCTCTCTCTCTCTCTCCTGTGCTATTATAATGAAAATAATCGACTCAATAAACACTAACAAATTTAAACATCTGACTATCTAAGTGCGATAAATCGCATTTAAAGCTTTTAATATATATGTATTTCTAGTCAAAACACGCTGAGTACGTGCAGCCGCCGGAGGAATACTGAAATAGTATCACAAAGTGACAACCAGACCCAGCAGCAGCAGCAGCAGCAGCTTATACTGCCCCCTTCCGGAGGAGCTGCTGCCACTGCAACACTCTAACTTCAGTTCATACACGAGTGCGCTGTTCTCTGATGCGCTGTCATTTTGACATGTCTAAAATCTAAAAAAAATCAGCATATGCAACAAAATAAGAGCGGTACATTTTTAGATCTTGCATAATGTATATCCTACACATTCCCAAATTGCTTTGATATATCTAAAGTGTGCTCACGTAACATCTTTGGAATGACATTATCTTTTATTTATCGTCCTTATTTAAGCCTCTACTGCACGGTGTCACTATATAAACATGATATTTATGTAGTTTCCCTGCAACTGTTTATGAAAAACCAACATTATTTGTCGTTGTTGTTGTTGTTGTTGGAAAGAGAAGACCTTAGAGTAGCCAATCAGAGCCGGCCCAAGGCATAAGCGAGCTAAGCGGCTGCTTAGGGCCCCATGGCCACCAGGGGGCCCCCAAGAGAGCATGAAATTACTAACTTTCGTTTTTGATTTAGTTTGTTGGAGAGTTTGGTTATAGATTATGGGTGGGGCAAATATATCAATATGCTCTGGCGCCAAGAATCGATATTTATCTAAATGTACAAAAGATCTTAATTAATTAATCTACTCTGACTGCAGCCATTTACCGCTGTGGCTGCAGTACACCCAGCTGCCACCAGGTGGCTCTTCCCGTAATGATGGATCAACAATACATCAGAGACGCAGCAGCCTTTATAACCACTGACAGATGAGCGATTGCAGTTGTGAAGCTTCATACAGGAATATGGGCTCACACTATTTAATTCCACCAAAATATATAAAGATATCAATAGGACAAGAACACATCATTTGAAGGGTTTTTCATTTGTTTAACCCTTGCAGACCTTTGCAAAGTCTTGTAGATGGTATTTTTGCTGAATCTATTAGAGAAATTAAAAAACTTTAAAATAATGCTCTTTTTAGATTGATGAGTAATTAACTAATGTTCTCCACTGCTGGAGGCATTATAAGTGCTCAGAGGAGTCTGTGCTCACCTTTCTGAGCATTACAATCAGTTACTGTTCTTGAAGAAAATATATTAATCTAGTGGCAATGCAACATTTTGCATGATTAAAAATAAACCAGGGCTATGCATAAAACACATCAAATAGGTGGGCCAAGTTGTAATAAATGTCTTTAGTTTACAGAAAACTAGAAAGCAATACATTGCTATTTTTGTTTTCTAACATGCACAGTTGAAGTCAGAATTGGTAGACCCCCTGAATTATTCGCCCCCTGTTTATTTTTTCCCTAATTTCTGTGTAACAGAGAGCAGATTTTTTTCAACACATTTGTAAACATAATCGTTTTAATAACTCATCTCTAATAACTGATTTATTTCCTCTTTGTCATGATGACAGTAAATAATATTAGACTAGATATTCTTCAAGACACTTATTGTATTATTTATTTATTTGTTCTTCAATTCAGTGATGATGTTATTATTCTTGTGGTCACTGGCCTACACGAGGAGGCGCTAAAGCGCTTGGTGCCTTCACGCTCGAAACAGACGAAGAGGATCAACTTCAGCCAATCAGAGGAGCGCTTAGTGGTCGCGAGCAGCAACGGACAAGCGCTTCAACAGAACACACACACACACACACACACACACACGCACGCACACACAGCAGGCATCAAAGTGTTGCTGCTGTAATGATGAATCTGGGGTGAGTGTGTCCTTCACTGAGCCTTCGTCATTAGTAAAATGCTCCTTTAAGAATGTAAGATGTGCTGTTTGTCCTCGACTCGTCTCCGCGTTAGTCGCTGATGTACGGATATGGTGTGTGTGAGTGTGTGTGAGTGTGTGTGTGTGTGTGTGTGTGAGTGTGTGTGTGTGTGTGTGTGTGTGAGAGTGTGTGTGTGTGTGTGCTGTGTGTGATAGTTCCCGCTCAGCTGTGTGTGATATATGCAGGACAGCAGCTCCTCCAGTAACGGCTCTCTGTGTTCTGCTGCTGCTCTGCTCTTCATTGCAGTGATGGTCTGCTGTTTCAATTGGAGAATGGCAAACCCAGGCTTGTGCTGGCGAAATATGGTGAGATCATGAGCTCCAGCAGCTTGTTTTTACTCCTCATATCTTCTATCTTGTACATCTTTAATCTACATACTAGAAACTATATGTCTCTGGACATTTCAAACTAGAAGTAGTAGGTCAAATGTTGTGTAATTTACACGTATTTAACACTGAATGGCTTTAGGGAAGCAGAGGTTATGTTCAGTGTCTGTGTTTGGCTGATGATGATCACACTTTATACAGGTGCTCAATCCAAGACGTCTCATAAGAAAGCTTCTGGTCGGGTAAGTGAGTCTGTATGGAAGAACTAACTGAGGTAAAGTTGGTTTTATATTCGCACATTTGTTCATTTAGCAGTCTCTATATTGTTTACAATGCTAATTTGAATATTCGGTCAGTGTTAGCATGTAAGTGTGTCTTCAAAGCAACATGAACACTATCTAGTAAACACTGCTGTACTTTAATAATCAATAGCTGCTAATGTGATTTCACTATTTAGAGTTTGCAAATAATAATAATAATGACTGAATATCTGAATATGAAAGCAGCTTTACCTCCATGAAGATCTACCCTTTGCTTTTTATCGATGTTTTCAATTGAACATGCCTATATTCTGATAGTTATTATGCTATTATTATGCTTTGTGTGATCCTCAGAATCCTCCTCGGAAAAAAACAATCCAGTTAATCAACCCTAAACCCGGCCCATGTCATCCAGACAGAGATGAACCTGGGCGGAAGCACAAAGATGCACCAGCTGCTGGTTCAACAGGGAATTGTATGGAGCGTCCCAGAATACCGAATGCCAGGCGCAGGATGGACACCATGTCCAGCGAGGCTGCAAGAGTCCAGTCAGAGATCGACAGGAGCATTGTCACGCCGCAGAACGAGAGCGTGGTGTGTTTGACACAAGAGCAGTTCCAGCAAATCCTGAGCTCCATCAACAGTAGATCTGCTGAAAACACACACTCAGGTGAGCGTGTACAGTATAATGATCAATGTTAGACATATCTTCATCCACAATAAGGACAACACTACTGTTAATCTTGCTTGTAGAAGCGGTGGTCAGCTCAGAAGAAAACTGTGCTGGAAAGACCGGAGCAGAGGAGCCGTTTGTCCTGGAGGGCTGTGACTATAAGCACCGAGCGTCAGAGGAAAAGCCAGACAAACTGTAAGACCGTCTACCATATGAAGACGCTGACGTCACAATCAAAGCAGAGATGTAGTGTGTACTCTCCAGTTAATTCACAAACAATTCATTTATTTAGCTTTCCAAACAAGATCGAGGACTCCATTTCTCATCATCATGTTTGAGTAAAACTCAGAGATGGCGGAGGTCTTACACTTCAGCTCTAGACAGTCAGCATTAGCGGTTGCTCGTGTAACTCAGGTTTGGTGCAGACTAATTAGATCAGAAAACAGCACTAGGACATGATTATTTACACACACTTTAAGATTATTAAATTTAATAAAACTATCAAAACTAAAAAGGTTATGTTTACATAAAACTTGTCAGCGCATAGGCTTCATGTCCATCATTTTAAAACCTGTATATGCCTATTTTGTTCACAATAACAGCACACCAGTTCATCCACTGACTTTGCTGGAAATACACCGGGATCTTTAAACAGAAGTTTGACTTGTGCAGTGTAATATGGCCTTTGGTGTGCCCCAGGTCAACAAGCATGTGCACGTCTATGTCTTCTGCTTTCCTTCAGGATTCTGTCAGATGGCCAGCAGTCTGGGTTGTTCAGCACATTTGGAGAAAGAGAAAGAGAGAGAGAGAAACTGGAGGCCAAGAAAGCTCAGTGGAGAAGAGAACTGGGTACTGTCACTAATGAGCATTTATGCGGACCGTTCTAACAAGGCTTTAAATGTTATTGAGGACAAGTTCAGTTGTTGAAGGCAGAATTATTCACCCCCCTGTTTATTTCTCCAATTTAATTTTCATTTCGGCTTAGTCCCTTTATTATTCTGGGGTCACCACAGCGGAATGAACCGCCAAATTATCCAGCATATCTTTTACACAGTTTTCCCGGTGCAACCCATCACTGGGAAACATCAATACACACTCATTCACACCCATACACTATGGAAAATTAAGCCTACCCAATTCACCTGTACCACATGTGTCGGGACTTGTGGGGGAAACTGGAGCACCTGGAGTATAATCATACTAGTGTTAATAACTCATCTCTAATAACTGATTTATTTCCTCTTTGTCATGATGACAGTAAATAATATTAGACTAGATATTCTTCAAGACACTTCTATACAGCTTAAAGTGACATGTAAAGGCTTCACTAGGGTAATTAGGGTAACTAGGCAGGTTAGGGTAATTAGGCAAGTTATTGTATAACGATGGTTTGTTCTGTAGACTATCCAAAACAAATATAGCTTAAAGGGGCGAATAATATTGAGCTTAAAATGCTGTTTAAACTATTAAAAACTGCTTTTATTCTAGCCCAAATAAAATAAATCAGACTTTCTCCAGAAGAACAAACATTATCAGACACACTGTGAACATTTCCTCAATCTGTTCAACATATCTATATAATATTTAAATGAGAAAATACAAATATTTAAACAAGAAAAACAAAATCAAAGGGGGCGAATAATTCTGACTTCAACTGTTTGTATATATATATATATTTGTTGTACACAGAAGAAGGAAAGTTCTGCTGCTGGTTACTGAAATGGCATGTACAACTGTTGTATAAACTGTGCTATTTATAATAACTTTTATTTTTACTTTTATCCAAGAGGGCTTTTATTATTAGTATACATTTTCCAAAGCTCCAGATAAACTCTGGCTCTATGTATGTCATCTTGACATTCTGATTGGTGGGTCGGTTTGCAAACAAATATAGATATCTGCTATTTGAGTTTGCGTCACAAAAACTTGTGTTGTAATGTAATATAATATAAATCATGCATTAACATTGTAATAACTGTGTAAATACTTGAAATGTGTGGAAATGAATGACATTTGCATGTAGTGATTCAATATAGTGAAAAGGCTTGTGAATTGCCTGGCATTGCTGAATCAGCTGCAGGGAAATGTTTGTCTGAGCTGTCGATTGTTTTACAGATGAGCAGATGGCCCTAAAGAGGCAACAAAAAGCCAGACTCAGAGAGAAGACTGCTCCGAATCAAGCATGTGAAGTTAGGCTTAAAGACCTCTCTGACTCCGTAAGTAATTTCATTTTTATTTTATTCTATATTGGTGTTGTCATGATGTAATGAGTATTAATGTGTGTATTGCTGTGTAGTGGTGGGCAAGGTTTACTCAGTAATGTGAACTATTTAATTATAAGCTATTGAAAAGGACAAATTAAATGAGTGTTTTTCACAAAGCCTACGGTAGATTTCACTTTGAATAACTGCACACTGTGTTTTACAATTTTGTAGATATTTATAGGCCTACACTACCTGACAAGTTTTGTGGCTGATCCCAGTTGTAAGAGCGACAAATAATAACTTCTAGATAATCGTTTGGAAAAATGGCAGAAGGTTGATTTTTCATGAATCAAGGACACAAGATTCTCATAGAAATCAGTCAAGTTTGGTGAAGGAGACATCATGGTTTGGGGTTCATGTCAGAGATGTATGGATGCAGTCCTCCAAGCTCATGATGGAGTCAGACACAATCTTCATTCTGTCTCCACTGCAGCAGGACTTTATATTCTATACTGGACATTATTTCTGTTCAGTGATGAGACTTTAGTCTGAGCAGAGTCAGACCGCACTGTCCTCATCAAATCAGTCAACATCAACACATGATCAGATTTATTGTGAGGCCTATTATCGTTGAAATTCTATTAAATTTGATGTGTATGTCTATGCATGATTGAGATGTTTGTCTTATTGCAGACTGCTGCTGCAACAGAACGGTTAAAGCCCAGAGCTCCTCCTCAGATGCAGAGAGAGCTTCCCGCTGCCATCCGCTCTGCCTTTATAGTGGGGGTGAGGGATCAGTGCTGTGTTAAGCACTTTCCAGTCCACACTGAAATGTTGTAAATGCTGAAATCGCATTAGTGCATTTATCTTCAGCAACACTGTAAACTGCACACACTGTAACACACACACACATGTGCTTTTGGTAAATGTTTTGAGGGACGTTTGAAGTCTTCTGTGATCTGAATATAAAACTTTTGGACGATGAAAGACCTTACATCTATTAAACCTTGCATCTGTGGAATGTAAAAACTAATAGTTAAATAAAACTGCATGTATAAGTGAAGAACAGTACAGTATTGTACAAAATAACAGCAGTACAGCGTGACTGACCCCAATAACCCAAGTCTTTAGTATATCATTTATTGATACATGGAAAACAAATAAGCAGTAGGTGCAGCAGATTCTCAGAAAACTAACAAGACAACAGAAACAGCATTTGTGATATCACCCCACACGTTCTCGATTGGATTAAAGTTCAAGAAACCCTTTCCTTCAAATCTTACAAAAACAGCAGCTAAATGTGAGCGGCAAGATTTGATCTGTAAAGGTTGTCCTGTTTAAATCCGAAAGCATTTCTGCTGCGTGACTCTACAGCAGATGAGTTATCTGTGCTGTTTGCTGGGTTCAGGAAGCCGCGCCTGTGGAGGACATGTTCAACACTCAGAGAGAGGAGCAGCAGAGACGCTGGTTACAGGAGCTGGACCAGCAAATACAAGAGGCCAAACTACGCCGCAAGCATGACAAGCAAATCAACAGCCAGGTAAGCCTGACTCACGAGGAGTCCGATCAGGATATTTAGACGATATAAATAGTCGAACCTTTTTTCATGATTTTGACACGAATAAAGAAAGAAAGCATACATTTACATGTTCTCCACCACTGTAGATTTAACTACAGGACACATCTGTCATGGCATCTTCTGTAAAAGCATTAAATAAAATCATGCACTGATCACAATCTACCTCATATCAATTAATACATATAATAATAATAATAATAATAATAATAATAATAATAAACAGATTTCCAGCTCTAACATTCATTCATTCATTCATTTTCTTGTCGGCTTAGTCCCTTTATTAATACGGGGTCGCCACAGTGGAATGAACTGCCAACTTATCCAGCAAGTTTTTATGCAGCGTATTCCCTTACAGCTGCAACCCATCTCTGGGAAACATCCACACACACACTCATACACTACGGACAATTTAGCCTACCCAATTCCCCAACAGTGCATGTGTTTGGACTGTGGGGGAAACCGGAGCACCCGGAGGAAACCCACGTGAATGCAGGGAGAACATGCAAACTCCACACAGAAACACCAACTGAGCCGAGGATCGACCCAGTGACCTTTCTGCTGTGAGGCGACAGCACTACCTACTGCGCCACTGCTCAGCTCTAACATGTGAACACAGTGCAGGAATACTTCTGAACCTGGTTTCATCAAGTTCAGTGTCCGTCTCTGAAATGTCCCGTGAGGGTGACGCATGATTGCAATAATGTACAGCAGACGATCTTTGCCTTATAGTCTGTTCTTTTCCTACACAGGTGGAGGACATCGAGCTTTGGGCCGCTCATTTTGACTCTCTACAACAGCCGTTGACTGTGGCTCCTAAACCAGAGGTACCTGACAGCAGTCTGTCTCATCATCCATCTGTGTCTGGGTCTCTGTGCACAGCATGGGAGGGCATGAGCGCGTGTGGAGCGGACAGTCTGGGAAGGGCCAGCGTTGACACTGCTCAGGGAAACAAACAGAGGTCCAGGTCAGTTAGAAGACAACTCGTCAACACATGACATTGCACAAGCTGGCCACTTTATTAGGTACACCCGTTCACTCGCTGTTGAAGCATTTGGGGGATCGGTTGTAGGTTCAGTCTGAGCATCTGAAGATGATTTAGATGGCAGAATGTCAGCTTTACTGAAGCTGTTGACCTTTTGGGAACTGTAAGCACAGCCAACTAGACAGTCTGTGAAAGGCCTTGACCTTAAAACAAAATGCCAAAATGCTCTCTCTGTCTGTCTCTTCACCTGTGTTGGGGTTACTGTTTAAGAGCAGATCCTAATCAAAACATGTTTTCAGTTTAAATTGAGTTCATTTTCATTTTATTGCTTAATCTGGGGAAATGGACTCGCTAAATCTCCTCAAATACACGCTGTCTAAGAGGATTTTCAGCTGTAAAGACCGAAATGCTCTTGTGTGGTGTCGTGCAGTTACCTTCGCACAATGACCGCCCTGCTGGACCCTGCTCAGATCGAGGAACGAGAGCGTCGGAGACTCAAGCAGCTTGAACACCAGGTAGGATTCAGACATTGCTGTATGGCATAAACCTTTATATTAATGATATTTCTGAGATCATGCTGGAATGTGCAGCAAGCCATTGAGGCTCAAGTAGAGGAACGCCGACGTCAGAAAGAGAAAGAGGAGGCACGACGACGAGCACAGGAACAAGAAGAGGAGCGGAGAGTTGAAAGAGAGCAAGAGCGACTGCAGCAGCAGTATATGAAAGACACCGAGCGACAAAGACACAAAGAGGTGAACTACACTACACACACGCTGAAGGAGAAGTAATGGAGTATACATAACACACTCCTGACGGACAAAACCAGTCAATGAGAAACACTGGCATCTGTTCAGGCTCAGACGTGTGGCTACTGGTTATAGAGAGGTTAAATATCGAGCACATGCAAACACTGACTGGATATCATCTTTAATAGGTGGATTCATCCAAAGCTAGTAGAAAACAAGCAGAATTTGGCAACTAATGCTTATAACTATCTAATGTTTTTATCTCTTGACTTTGGTCTGCTGATATCCTGCTCAACATTATTCCTGAACTTTTGTCTGTGTAATTTCAATAAATTGGCAAATTATTCATAATTGTTGTATGACAGGGAACACGCTCTTGTTTTGATTTTATATTTAGATTTAGAATAATATTAATGTTATATTTAGATATTTAGATTTATAAAAAGGGGCGACGCAGTGGCGCAGTAGGTAGTGTTGACGCCTCACAGCAAGAAGGTCGCTGGGTTGATCCTCAGCTCAGTTGGTGTTTCTGTGTGGAGTTTGCATGTTCTCCCTGCATTAGCGTGGATTTCCTCCGGGTGCTCCGGTTTCCCCCACAGTGTAAACACATGCGGCACAGGTGAATTGGGTAGGCTAAATTGTCTGTAGTGTATGAGTGTGTGTGTGGATCTTTCCCAGAGATGGGTTGCAGCTGGAAGGGCATCCGCTGTGTAAAAACTTGCTGGATAAGTTGGCGGTTCATTCCGCTGTGGCGACCCCAGATTAATA